GATTAGACAAACAGCTAAATCTGTGTGTTTTGCATTGCAGTTACTGCTTTATATGTCTTTAAGACCATGCCAGCTTTGTTTATATTTTAATTGCATGTTTTGCAAAATCTGCTTCAACAAATGATTCATTAGTTTAGAATATTTTATTTACAAATTCAATACAGAATAACAGCTAAGGCTTCTGTTAAAAGTTATGACATGACATTTAATTTAAAAGCGTTAGGTTACCTGATTAAGTGAAGTACAAACTGATACATTAATAAATTCGATTACAGTAGCTGTGATATTTTACAGTAAGCAAGTTTTTGTCTTGACTCATCACCCCACTGGTAGCCCAGGAGAGAAAAAAGGTGAGAACAAGTGGTATAAATTCTATCTGCAGTATTTTCTTAGTCATGAGCCATGTGATAGGATGGAGAAACAGTTGGTGTTTCTCTTTGATGCACAGCTTGTCACGTGGAAACCCATCAGGACAAGGGCTGTGTGTTCACTGGTGTGATCTTTGAGCCTCCCACTAATGCAGTGCTGCCTGCACAGCCCTGTCTCAGCCTTCAGAGCCACCCCTGGGTGTGTGCAGTGCTGTCAGCTGGTTTTGTGGAAAGTCACTCTCAGGTGCCATTGCTTTCTGCAGGAGGGCTGATGCCATCAAATCAAATTGCTTCTGATACTGGGGGAAAGCCAGGAAATCAGCTGAAAATTTGGGTGGCCTTCCAGGAGCAGTGCAGTCCCGAGGCACTTTTGGGCTGTACCACTGGGGGCACATCAGATGTCTTCACAGTGTTTCAGTGATTCTCTGAGCTAGAAGTTTGCTTCTGCTGTGTCAAAGTTTGGGGTGTGATTGCTCACTCAGCTCTTTGCTTTTCCTTTGTGGATGGATTTGGAGGTTGGGGTGTTTGTTTTTGCCCAGCTGTCAATGACAATAGCACCCCAAGAACAGCAGGCTGAAAAAGCAGTGAGATAAAGCTGTTCCCCATCCCAGGACAGAGGGGAGGATTTATTTTGGGGTAACTATACAAAAACTTGTGTTGCAGCTGTCACTAGTATCTCTGCCACATATACATACAAGGTTTAGGGACTAACAGACACATATAATCAATTTTGCTTTCTTATTCTTTTGTTCTCACTGGTCCCTAAGCTAGAAATGAAGGATTTCCTGAGAAAGCCCAAGAATTTGGTGGCTTCAAAGTGTTAAGTGCAGTATTGATTGTTCTGAAAAACAGACCTGGGAGTATTTGAATATCCTACAATATTTCAGCTTGATTTTAGTGACATGCTGGCACAGAGAGAAATAGAAAATCCTTTTCTAGATATTCCACATATTAATTATTTAGTTGAGGAGAGTCAGCTAGGATTCACAAAAGAGAGATTATGCCTGAAAATATCTGTCTCACATGTTTAAAACAAATAAGCTGAAGTAGGAGAAAGAGAGGCCGTAATATGCCTGGGGTTTGAAAATTCTTTGTAGAATCATGCTGCACAGAACCCCATGTTTTATCAGCTGGTGTGTCAGTGGGTGCAAGAGAGCTGGTCACAATAGGGGATGATTTTGGATGAATGCTGGGGAAGGGCAATGTCACCAGGACAGGCCTGCTTTATTGGTGGTTTGGGAGGAAGGAGAGATGTGTCCTGTAAAGATGTTGGGATCTGCTGTGGATGCAAAACTGGTGGCACCACTCATGTAAAGGTGCATGCTTGTACTTTGAGGAGAAGACTAAAAACAAAGCCAGGGTTCCCCTGCATCCTGAAACTTTCTAACCTGCCTTGAAATCCTCGTTACCCACAGAGGCTGCTAACTCAGCCTGTGGCTTTTCATCACTGCTCCACATCCATCCTCTGTTGTGTCAGTAACCACAGAGAGGAAGACAGTGACTCCAGCCTTCCTCACTACACAGCCCTGATGAAAGAGCTGGTGTGCTAAACTGCATCTTCTGTTCTTGAATTAATTAATGCTCTTCTATTTTGTTTTTCTCCGGACTTGAGAAGGGGAAAAACCCCAAGTTTTCCAACCCTCAAATGGATGGTAAAATAGATAGTCAGATCTTTATTACTACTGCAGAAGATGAGGCAATATTTAGAGAGTCTGGTGAAGCATTTGTCTTCTCTCAAGCTCTCCAGAAGGCAGTCATCCCTGTTTCAAGTGCTAAGACAATAGTGAATAAAAAGAAAATTCCCTGTTCCAGGGCTATTTTTACCAGAGTGGTGCAGTTCCTCTTCAGTAGACCTATGCCTCTTAATCTACATCACTGATGATATTCGAAGCTATTTTAGGCATTGCATAAAATGTTCATCCAGTCTTTGCTAAAAAAGAAGCAACCAACCCACAAGTCCTTTGTTAAACACTGGTTGCAAGGCTTCAGCAGTGATTTGGGTAGAAAGATCTTAGGCTGAGGTTGTGGAAGCATCTTGCTTTGTTTGGGAGCAGAGGTTGTGTGTGACCTTGGGAAAGCCCAAACTGATGATTGCCCTTTCCTCCTCCCACCACCTCATTATCCTGAAAATGTGGAGAACACTACCAATATCTATTTAGGGGTTTGGTTCTTCTAATTTGTAACGGCAGCTGTCTGCTGTTTTGCCCAGCATCTTGCACAGAGGGACCCAGTTTGCAGCTGGCCAGCAATGAAATTGAGTTCATTATCTTGTGTGAATGTGATAATGAAATGAAATAAAACACACCTGAACCAGCAAAATCTTGTAGAGTTTAGATCAGGCCTCAGTCACAGTGCTGAGATTTACTGAGATGGTAAATGTCTTTTCTCCTCTTTGAGAAGTAAAATGCTGAAAATGCAATTTAATAATTTCCAGGATTTTGATTGTCAACTTCCCAAGATTTGTGTTTTCACTGTGTTGGGATGCACTGATTTTATGCGATGAATTTCCTACTTCTGTGAGTAAGCCAGGTAAACATGAGGTTAAATTTTAGACAGGGCTGAGTGTTCTCTGTGTTCCAGCATATATCTGGATTAGGCTCTTCATCCCCGTCTCCTTCTCTGCCTTTTGTCCTGTCAGAAGTATTTTTATAGGTGTGAAAACATATCTCAGGGCAGCCAGAACAAACTTGATGATTAAGCTGTTTTTTATTTGCAGTATCTTAAGATGAAGCCATTTGCCATGGGCTGTTTCAGCAGCCACTGTGTCTCTGGAAATGCTGGCATGGGCAGCCTGAAGGTGGTTTGGGTACCTGGTTGAAGATCCATCCCCAGGCTCCAGGGTGTAGGACACAGGCTGGCAAAGTGTATCCATCCCTTGTGAGCCACAGGAGTTCTGTTAAATTACAGGACAGTTTTCAGGACTTCTTATTCCTCCACCATCCCAGCTCCACGATGTTTTTGCTCCCAGAGCTCCTGGTTGCTTTGGCCAGTGAAGTGAGCTGGAGAAGCGAGGGAGAGGTCGTAGCAAGGCTGTGAACAAGCACCAACTGGTAAATGGTGGAGGATGAGGCAGGATGAGGGTTTCTTTGGTTTCTGCAGAGGATGATCTTGGCAGTGGCAGCAGCAGGCACCCCTTGCCATGAGTCACAGGAAGCTTTTTCAGAGGAAAGGTCAAAGAATTGCGTTAGTGCCACTCCGGCTTGTTTTTTTCCTGCTCCTTCCAAAAGGCCTTTTTGCTGCCGTGTCCACTGTCATCCTTGTCCCATGCAGCCTGCCTTCCTCCATTCCCTCATCCTCCTCACTGCTGTGGTGGTTGAGAGAGTGGGGAAAACCTGTCAGCTCAGGAAAGATGCTCTGAAGTTACTAAGATCTGTTTATAGCAGTGAGGGTGGAATTTCTGTTTGATGCAAGGGTTGATGGATGTGTGAAGTCATCCGGTGGTTGCGGGGGAAGGCAGAAGGGAATTGATTCCCTTTGTAGCCCTCTACCCCCAGAATTTTGGGAGACAACCCCTGGTAATCAATTTGTTACTCCTTCCTGTATGCCCCTTGGTGCATTCAGGGGTAAATGGGGTTTGTTGGACCTCCCCCAAATTTTGTGGTGGGGAGATGTTTCATTTTCCTGTTGACAGCCTTCCCTGTCAAGTGCTCTGGTGTCACAGGGACTGAAAAACACCAGGTTACTGCTGGGGAGTGAACCTAGCTGACTTGTGTGTCCTGAGTGCAGGGAAATTTAACCTTGTCTTCAGTCCTTAAGCGTGTCCTGGGCTCATTGGTTACTCCTCACTGACTGCTTCTTTGCTGTATATGCTGTTTTATTACAGACTAAAAATGCTTGAAAACAAACCAGTTCATCTTTTAGTTTTTCTCATATTTTTTTAAAAAATTCATTTATCTATCCCTCCCCAGCTGAGCTGTTCAGCACCCCAGCTCCTCACAGAACACAGGGTGATTTCCAAATTCACGGGTTCCTTTTCCTACTGAGATTAATGTTGTCCTAAAGAAAGCCTTGGAATAAGGAGATGAGATCAAAGCAGACACAGCAACTGAATAGTGGCAGTAAAACTGAAGTCCTCACTTCACAAAGAACTTGTTTCTGAACTGAACTGTGCAGTGAATCCTGTTATACTCTTGTATTAGTCCTGAAGGGTTCCTGCTTGCCCCTGCAGTCCTGCAGCACTTCTGCATTTTCCCTGGTTTTATTTCCCCTCGGTGTGAGTAAGCAAATGCAAGGCTCAAATAGCAGCATAGTCAGGCTGGTTCCAACACGTGAACAGCACTAGATAGAAAAATAAAAGAGGGAGAGCCAATTGCCTTCTTGATCTGTAAAGCAGAAAATACTAAATCCCTCCAGTCCTGCTTTTTGTCATGTACCATCCATAAACCCCGTTTGGGGTTTGGATCGGCATCACGGCAGAACCCGGCTGCGCTGCTGCCTATGTGCAGTGCAGCCTTGTGTGTGTCTGGCAGCAGCACAAAAGGAACCAGCTGATGATATTCACAGCATTAAAGGCCTGATTCCTGGGGACACACTTGGTTGGATGCAATTAAAATGCCTGTCAGGCATTTGATACCAGCACCCCCTTGACAAACCGCCTGAGCCGCCGCGAGGTGCAGCATCCTATTGTAAGTGGATGATGGCGGAGCCGGCTGCCTTGGCGTCGTTCTCGAAATTTCTGTGGCCAGTGAACTCCCTCTTCCTCTCCCACTCACCCTCTTTTCCTTTTCACCGCTGCGGGGACTTGTGCTAATTTGCAGTTTTCCTTTTCCTGGCGTGCACATGGTAGAGACAAGCTGGTGGCTTGCAGACTGCGTCTGGCTGGAGACAGGCAGCGAGCCGATGGATAACAACACTCCGGGAGAATGATTATGCAGCAGTTATTTAAGGATAGGCTTTTGGGGTATGGCAGCATATGAGCTGGTAATCATTTCATTTCAAAAATGTCAGCTTTGTTTGTTTGCTTGTTGAGGATTTGAGAGAGTTGTACCTTTATGCTGGAGCTTTTTGGGTTTTGTCTGCTGTAGATTAAAATCTGTAGCAGCGCACGCTGGATGAATTCAAATGAATAGGTAATAAACTTCTGTGGATTTGTTTATACATTGATGCATGCATAGTGTATGTTATATGCAGACACACCTTCATATGGATATGTTTATGCTTCTTTTGTCTTTGTATGATAGAAGAAAAACTTTTCTCATAGCTAAAAACTGTTTTTCAGCAAAAAATCAGTGTTTTCAGGGTTTTTTTGCCCCTCCCTTTGTTTTGTATTAGCAGATTCTTCAGTGTGTAGCCTTGGACGCAGCGTGCTGATTGGAATCTTCTTGTTCAAAGATCGGAAAGGTAGGATGCCTCTCTTTGAATGTGGGGATGAATGTGGCACAGGGTGTGGGCTGCTCTTTGTTATTTTGTTTTTCCCTTTTGATTTAAACAATAGTTGGTGGTTTGGGGTTTTTTTTTGTTTGTTTTTGTCAGCTTTGCAGAGATTTTCGAATTGTCGTGCCAGGCACTGTGAAGTTATTTTTGATGTGTAAATACATGCTCGAGGTAACTAATTAGCCCTTTTGGCTGCAGCTACTAAAATGTGAGATACAAACCCTAATGCTTGCCTATTGTCTTGTGTTAGTGCAGGTGCAAGCTGCCCCCTGTCATTTGGGCTTGTCATAATACTGATTTTAGCATCAGCAAGGACAGGGTTAAACTGGCAGGCTTGTTCCAAGCAGGTACAATCTCTCCCAGGAAAGCAGCTCCTGGTTCCAGCAGCCTGTCAGTGCTGGGTGAGCATCTGTCTGATGGCTTTTCACATACCACTGGCACTTCAGAAATGATGCCTGCTATCAAAAGGAGGAAAGCAAGCTGGGTTTTTCTGGCAATGTCATTGCTAACTCCCAGGAGTAGCAGTTTATTGTCCTCTTCCCCTAGTTCCTTTTGGCTGGGGTTGCTTTAAGCCTTTGCCTCTGTAAAGAAAAGGAGGAGGTGAAATGTTGCAGAATAAAATCTCTAAGTTACTTTGTATTGGACTTCCAGGTGTGTCGGGTACCTAAGGAATAGAGATTTCATTGATTTGTAGTCAGGACTGTGCTAAAAAAAAATAAAAAAAATCCAGGCAAGATTGAAAATCTGCTCCCTTCACCTTGATGGAGAGAGGAAAAGGTATATCCATCTTGAATTAACTTCTCAGGTGCCAGTTCTCACCCAACACTTACCAAAGCAGACTTTATGATGATGTTCTCTGTTACGGTGCCCTACAGGTGATCATATTTCTTGGGTCTGCATTTGGACCTGGAGGGAATGTGTGCAATCACAATATGCATGTGGCTTTAGCCTAAAGTTTTAGGGGCCTTTTAAAAAACTGAAAAAAAACCCCACAGAATTTTTTCTGGAAAGGTGGTTATGTTTCACTCTTTGAGAAAGCCTGGGCTCCTGAAATGGCCATTGTGGCTCCCCAGACAGGGAGGAATCCCAGGCCAGAACCTGGGCACTGGGAAAGGTGTGGGCTACTGCTAACAGCAAAGCATGCCTCAGAAAGGTGGTGAATTATCAATATCATTGAACCATAGGACTGGTTGATAGATGCTGTTTCCTGAGGGAAAGCACTGTGAATTTTTCCAGATATTCTCTCTCATGTTTTCTTACATACAATTCTCTTGTTTGTTTCCCCTTTCTACACATCTTTCCATTCTCTTGGCCCCTGTAGTTTTTCTATCTTTGGCAGAAGGCTTTTGCCTAATGGATTTTCCTGGCTGAATAAGTTATTTTGAAAGGAATTCTTTACTTGCTAGTTTATCTTAGCTGCTTTTAATACTGTTTCCTCCTGGTTTCAGTTATCACTAGACTAATTGAAATAAGAAAGCCTGGAGTAAATAGTGAAAAATGCATTCAGTGATTTGATTTTAGCTGAGAGCAAGTCCCTTCTCCTCCCTCTACTTTTAATTTCACTTCCACTGTCCAAGGCAAGAAGCCAAACTGCAGTCTCATTCTGATTTCATTAATGTTTTGCAAACTCTGTCTCAAGGACTAATATTGCTTGCTGGGCTTGATGTCAGAATCCAAGGTTTTGCTGCAGCATTGGAGAAGGGGAAAGGAAGGCTCTCTCACAAATAGGAATGATAGCATTTGTTAGCAGGCAAGTAGAACTGCCTGGTTTTTATATATATTGGTGGATAAAGAGCCCAATTTTTTGGCGATGTGATCCCTTAGATCCCAGCAGGTTTTCATCTGCTGTGGAAATGTCTCTTATCTCCTGTGCACAGCATCTTATCAGTCCTCTATGGCATCCTTAAAACAAAGAAAGGGCATCAGCTGTTTGTTTTTAAATCAGAGTTGGTGGAGACTGGATTTTTTTTACTACATATACAAATGCTTATACATTTCTTGTACTTCTGATTTAGCAGTCATTTTGGCCTCGTCCTTTTATCTGGGTTTTTAAGATTCATGTTACAAATCATTCCTTTGGGCTACAAAGAAGAAAATGAGATGTTATACTGACGAAAATGGAAATTATTTCAAACAATATAATTTTCGTGACGAAGAGGTAAGGAGCACTTAGGCTGTAAGAGGAGATTTAATTTGAGATTGACAGGACTTGAAAACCCTGTGGCCACAGGGTTGGCTTGGAATATCAAAAAGAGATCAAAAGGAAAAGAATATCAAAGGAAAAACATTTTGTTAGCTGATACAAAAGGCAAGAGAAGCCAGAATGTGCAGCAGCAATGAGGTGTGCTGGATTAGAGTGTGTGGGCTCCGAGGCATTCACCCAGGGTGACGTGATGGTTGGCACACACCTTCCATTGGACATATGACATGGTGGCCAAATGAGCCAAAACACATGGTCTCAGTTCACCCCCAGGTCTCTCCTGCAGGGCTTCAGGGGTGAATTTGGGCCTCTGTGGCTGCCCCTGCCCTCAGATGGTCATCTGGCTTTTAACCCTGCTCCTAGTGACCCTCAGAAGAGGTAAGGAGGCTTTATGGCTGTTCTAGGCTGGGTCTAAACAGCCTTAGCTTGCTTGCCAGGGTTAGACCACCAGGACTGATGTTGTCTTGTCCTGTGGTTACAAGAACAAGTGGTGGTTTGAGCATTGGAGTGAATGGTGCTGACTTTCATTTGTGTCTTGTGCTTGATGGTGAGCAATTCTTTACTGATTAGAAAGACTGTCTCCTAGGCAAGATGTTTGGTGGCAAATAGGGGTCCTGTATTATGGCTTTTCTTTCAGCTGCAATGTGAGCAGGGTCATTTGCAGGATCTGCTTTTTTTACTTGAATGTCAGTTTTCATGGGACTTGTAGGAAGGCAGCTACCTGTAACAAAACAGGCTGAAATTGGTCAAGGGACTCAAAAGTTACTAGCTGCAGAGAATATAATCTACATCAAACTTTCAGTGACTAAGACTGGAGCTGATACATACTGATGAAAGTTCTTTCATATGTGTTTGCATCTTGTGTCCTCTCCTCCCATGCCAGAGCTTCCACTATTCCAGTTTTTGTGTGCTGCTAGCTGGGCAGGGCATGGCATGCTCTAGAGCTGCTCTGGCCATTCTGTGTGTGTGCTGCCTGTCTGGAAGGTCAGAGGCACTGAGTGGTGAGCTTATGGCAGTGCTTTCTTCATGTAAAGGAAGAATTCAGTTCAATTTTTTCTAGGAAGAAAAGCTTCCTTAATTCTCTGTCAAGCTACATTTAATTTTTAAAAGCTAGGGATAGTTAGACAGCAGGGGTTTGGTTTAGTAATGTTAGAAATGACCTTGTGTAACCTGTCAAGAAAATAATCATAAAACCTCAAGAATCCAATGGAGGATGAGCTGGACCAGGAGCTGGGCTGACATGGCCTCAACTGGAGTAAGAAGGTGCACCTGATTAGGTGCAAGCCTGTGGTTCCTGTGAATGGCTGTAAAACTGCCAGGTTACTTCCTGAAAGTTTGTGTCCTCTTTCTCTTCCTTACTTTCTTTGTCTCTAAAATAGACGAAGAAATGCCATTGTATTTCTCAGGAGAAATATTTAGCTTTGCAAAATGATTGAGATCCTTGGTTCTCAATCACAGGAAGCTGTGAAATTTGATCACTAGACTTAGGATGGTGTGCTTTGTTTTGGCTGCAGTAACAAAGGTGTTTGTGGTATTACTGCATTAGCAATAACAATAAAAAGATTAAAATACATTTACCAAGATTTGATTTCTCCCAGCTTCACCCATCAACTTAACTTTTCCTTTTTCTTTGCTGTATTGAATTACATGATGATCATAGAGGTCAGTGATGACATTTAAGATGTTAATGAATAAACAATAATCAATTAATCAGTCTCATTTCATGCAAAGGAATGGCTCTTTCCTGATGGACGCTCAGCTGGCATACCAAAGCTGAGAAGGGCAGAGTCTGTGTTGCCAGTAGCATGCTTGGAGAATCCTCTGTAGCAGCGGTGCTGCTGACTCATGCTTTACAACATTCCCTGGAACATTCCCTGACAGGCTGGCCGTGCAGATTAACTTCCTTTCCCCATCCTGCTCAGGGGACAATTCATTCCATTATTTGCCACCAGGTGAAGCCTCTAGATAGTTATGCACTGCTGCTGTTATCACTGACCTTTTATGGGGTGCATTAGCACGGAGCTTGCAAGAAATCACGGGCAATTTATTTTAATACTTTGGGTGTCAGTTGCTGCTAAATCACAGGAGCTATTTGCATTTATTTTCTGAGTCGTCCCAGTTCTTGTGATAAGGTGATTTTTTCAGTGTATGTGCTTAGTAAACTGCATTTATCTCTACTTTTTCTTACTTAGGTGTGTGTATTTTGCTTAAAAATGCAAATGTATGTCTTAATTGGCTAAAAGAAAATTAATCACATGTAAGGAGGTGCCTTTCTTTGCCTCCTCATTGTTAAGGGGAAGGGGTTCATGACTGCTGGAAAGTAGTGGGGGAAAGATCAGAGGTGTGCATTAAGTGACAGGATAAAAGTCCCTGTATCATCCAGTTGCTTCTGTCTCTGTGGTTCCCAAGTTGCTTCCTTCCACATGCCCAAAGGGACCTGAGCACTCTGCTGCTCCTCAGCACGGTAGCATTTGATACTGAGAAGCTTGATCTTGTGGTAGAATTCATAGCCCTGAATTTGCTTGGGGAGAAGAGGATACATGGGACAGCTCTGGGGACTTGCACATTCTCAAACATTTATTTCAGGTGTTTGAAGTACAGATGTGGGAACAAGGTCACAACACATCTCTGTGGAAAGCTCCTTGACAAATCACTGCCAGCTGCAAGCACAGGGCAGCACAGTCCAAGCAGAGATACTACAGCAGAGAGGAGATTCTGCTGAACTGGTGTCTCATTTTTGCTCTGGAGAAGGCCCCTGGTTCTTCCT